CTTTTGACTTACTATTTCTTACTTTTCCCACAATATGATTTTCCATGGACCTTTTTCAGGTATTACAGCTGATTTTATTTTTTTTTTTAAATCAGACAATACTTTTATTAAATAAGTTCAGCTAATCTACAACCTACCTTTGGGTACATGTAGGCTAACTCTGAAATTGTGGTTTCACCGATGTTCACAGTTGAACTTGTTAGATTATACATTTACAAACTGTAGATAAAAATCAATTTATCTGTCTTTAATATTGCAAAGCAGCAGGCAACCCGATCATTGTAATGTTTAGGAGAAACAACACACACTTATTCAAACTGCTTGAACAGCATTAGCGATCTTATAGCCCACTATGGAGCTGGTAGTGCCAGACAACACTGCTGGGCACAAGACCACTATTGTCCCTCAGGATAAAGTACGCTTGTGACCAAGGCCAGGCGGGGGCAACCAGATGCTGTGAAAAGATAAGGGAGTGTCAAAGAACAAAGGTCTTGGTGTTGTGTTGTTTACACTCATCATTCAAATGATAGGCGTCACAACTCTGATCTAAACTCTAGGTATATGTCGGAGTGGGTTGTCTATCCTGTATCCTCCTCCTGCTTCACAGTTAATTGACTACAAGTGTTAATTTGCTTGCAAGGAGCAGTCATTAAGGTTGAATAACTAATGTAGCCTGGCAATAGAGCAGCCAGGGATCAATGGGTTAATTCAATTGCCTCTGCATGTGTTGTTTTGTAAAGCAAGGCCATTTGAAGTCCTTTATAAGGGGGTCATGCCGTTTTAGTGTGCTTAAAAGTGCAAAGAGATAGCATGGATATTGGTCAATAAAGAAAGAATAGAACGGCACCAAAGGCAATGACATAAACAAAGACCAAAGTTCAGAGCTGTGTGCTTGGTGACAACTAAACAGGCGGATACAAAGAGATGGTTTACAGAAAAGTCTTTCCGTCTCTTTTTACAGTCAAGTTTGGGAAAAGGCTGTCATTGTATACAATATAATGACTAACAAATGACTGCTTGTCTGCTTAAATGTGTAATCAGTAAAGCAGTGTAATGGGTAACTTTTTTCAAACTACAGATTTTACTGAAAATGTGACCAACCAACCCTCCATAAATCTTACAATTTGAGTCCTTTTCTTTTTGGCTTAAACTCACCGCCTATGAGACAGGGGACCATCATTCTTGTATGGCAAGGTATGCCGAACATTTCTGCAGCTACATTTTAGGCAACTCTCCAGCAAATGTATGTTTATCAAGTTTTGTGGGTGTGGTAGAGGCTTTCAGATAAGTATTGCACTAATTATGCAAATAAATTAGGGGGCACAGTGTAACATCTTGCCTGGTGGGGGTCTCAATGGTTATGTCTGTGTTAGTGAATGGGAGTCGTGTCTTCATTAGAGGTTCATAATTGTTTCCCTCTTCTTTTTTTTTAAACTCCGAGGCCTAAAATGTCAATATAGGATTTCAAAACTGGTAAATATCTCTTTACTCAACAGCGCTGTCTCATTAATCTTTTTTTCCCTTTAGCTCTAATAACATGTAACCTACTGTCCTTTGTTCTTGTTGGCACGCTTAATCCTCCACTGGTACAAATTGACACTTGGGCCTGTTTATACAAGCGTTTGCCCAATTTAACCTGAACAAATACACTGAATCAATAGAGAAATACAGGATATTTGTTTGACTGCTGAAAGGATAATTCCATTGCCCTACATGCTGATAATTTTATTGCCTGTGCATTAAAGGAGGCACTTATCAGCTGACAGATAACAGACAATCAGCACTGCTGACACAATTCATAAGACTCGGTTAGCAGAATGGATTGTCAAACAAAGGCTTCTGTGGGCAAACACACTCTTCAGTTGAGGATAACTGCAGGCAAAAGCTGGGAGAACCTCCAGGGAAAACAAACCTGGAGAACAAAGAAAGTGTTGCATTTGAAACAAGTTGACCACGCCTGGTTGCTCTGCTGGCAGTTAGAGGGTGTGTATAAGTAAGATTTACACATGTTAGACTACAAAGATATGAATTTTGCCAATTTAACATATGAATAAAAGGTTTGCCATGCTTGCTTCTTGCTCTTTCCTCAAACAACAGTTGTTTGCTCCTTCCAGAGCAATTAAGTCTGGATCACTCTGACTTCTTGCGCAAGTCCATACTCGGCGTGGCTTCAAACACATTTGGGGTTGCCTCCTTGTCCTGGAGAGAATGCAAATACAACCTGTTTAACCAGTAACCCCCACTGACCATACTTATCTAGGAAAAATGAATTGCCATCAAGCCTTGGTGCATTATGTGCACTCATGTGTCTGTGTTTCTGTGCATGGATGTGTGTTAGTGCTTTTTAATCTACTGCGCAATTCTCTTGATGAGTCTTCCACTTCACATTTCAAAGGAGGTTCAAACTAATTAGCTCAGGGTGCCGGTTGTCTGTTGGTCTCAGTCCCATAACACCTTCAGGTGATTGTTCCAACATGTAAATCCTCGACAGCGACTTTATATAGTACACTCTACAATGTCTCCTCCTTTCCAAGTTAGATAAGGTGGAATCCAGAGAAAATATACAAGAGCATGCCTTGTTTAAATATGTATAAGATATCAATCAGGAGAAAAAAAGACGTAGAGATACAATACCTGCCATGTTTTCGGATTTGTGTTTGACAAAGAAAAAAAAAAAGTGTATTAAATATAAAGTATACCTATAACCGGGCCATTCTGTTCATTGTTTTAACAATGAGAGTTTGTCCTGGAATGTAATTTATCTTTACAGTTTTCACCTCTTTACTAGCTGTGTACCAAAGTGTCAACATCTGTGTTTCCACTTCAGAAACCAAAGCAAGGTGTAATGAGAAAAAAGAAAGTGGAGAGAGAGAGAACAACAAAGGCAAGAGGACAGATGAATGAAGAGCAGCACACAAACAGGGGTTGTCACTAATAGAGAGTTTTATGAGCTCCAGACCTGCTGAAATGGAGTGCCGTGCGTGTGCGGCAGCTCTTATCGGCTGGCTGGCAGCGAGGGGAGGGTGAGAGCTTCCACACTTGCGCTCCGTAAAAATGGTCTGATTCATTTTCCGCATGAGAGGGTCTCACTGGGGCGGCATCAGACCAGCCAGTCCACACAGATTTATGGACCATTAAAGCAGCAGGCCTCCTGACCGCGATGCCACCATAGGCTGGCTGCTAAGACACACTGCACCCTCATTCATGCTCGGCCACTATACTCTCCATCACAGCCTGGCTTCCTCATTGTTCATCCCCTCATCAGTACCACTTTTACTGCCTTACATGAACTCCTCTCATAGTCTATAATCCTACTATTCTCCACCTCACTCCCTTTGATACAAAGTGAACTGTTTACTGTAATTGTTCTCCCCCATTGTTGAGTTTACAAAGACTTTTTGTCATTCTTTCATCAAATGATCATCACCAAAGTTCCTCATCCCTGGGCAGACAACATGCTATATTGTACAGGAAATGCTCCAGTACCATTACGGACCTCTCTGATGGTGGTCAGTGGGGCATGTTGTTTTAGCCTAACAGCTTTTACAATCAGATTATCACCATTGCAGGCACACAGACTAATGGCTCTGTCTTTTCAAGGCATCCTCAATCAACTGTTTCCCTGCGTGATTAATGCTTCTCGATCACCCCCCTCCCCCCCCCCCCCCCCCCCCCCCTTCCCCCCCACCTCTCTCATTTGCTAGCTTTGCAACATCATCATCCCTACTAGTGATACTGGAAGGGAAAATGGGGCAGAGTCTATGCAGCTTGCTGGCCCTAAGAATAGCTCTGTATGCAAGGAAATGATGCCACAGCAACCTGAGCAAAGGCTAGGATTAGGAACATGAATGAATAAATGAATATAGTGGTTTCCAAGGGCTGTGCCACTTCTGTTTGATAATCTTCCATTCTTTTTTTGTTGGACAAATGAAAATGGCCACATTTGATACCATTCATGTGTTTCTATTTGTAAAGAATTATGAACAAACGGACACAAGATGAATAAGGAAGTCACTGAAGCAGCCTGTCAATGATAAGCAGTAAGCACCAAGCCTTAAATCAAGAAAATACTTTACACACTAACACTCAGGTATTTAGCCTGACAAATAGCCGCCATTGCGCTGCTGAAAAAGCCTGTTTGTCCAGCTTGAAGAAGGGGAAAAACAAGGGTGTGCATCAACACCAGTGTAGAAATATTTACAGCATTACTGCAATGGCCTTGTTGGGGTTTAAACACAATAAAAGCAAACAGAGAGGCTATTAGATCAGTCCACAGAGAGCTACTCATGTATGCGTATGAAATGGAGTGGCTGAGATGAGGACGGTATCACCATAATGTGAAAGTTACAGTTTGGTGTGAAGTCAGTTGGCAAAGCTGCACTCAACAGATAGCATGGAAAAGACAAAAAAACGGTCTACTGGTTTTCCCATAGGACACTTTTAGCTAAAAGCCCATTCTTACAAACATGTGAATGACAAAGCCTATGTGCATTTTGTTACACAAGCACAGAAAATGAGTTTCAGCCGCGACTGGGAAAAAGTAGGCTCTGCTTTTCCTTCTCAATTCTTCTCTTTGTCTGTATTCTCAGGCATCACCCAGCATGTGTCTGTTGTGTATGGTATACAGGTCACGTTAGCTCCTTGTATCATCGTTTACTCTGGGAGGGGCCCTGTTGAGGGTCCACTATCGTCACGAGGCTGGGTGTGGTGACACATCCTTTCTCTCCGCCCCGAGGTGTTTGTGTAGCCTAAATAACGCGGGAGTGTTTGTGTGTGGGACCCCTCCGGCTTGATCACTCACACACTTAATTCATAATAAATCCCATCACTCCTTCACTGTGTGCCTTATCATTCATTAAACATGTTTAAAACACTATAAAACACATTTAAATCCTCTACGTTACGTTACAATCAGCTGGTGATAAAAGTGAAAGCACATTGCACGATGCAAAATAGGATGGCGTGCGCGTTCGCGGAGCTACTGCGCTGCGGCAGTTGCCAGGGGAGATAGGAGGGGAGGGGTTTTGATTGGCTGAAGTGGGCCTTGTTGCCTTGACGACGGCGAGGGGTTTGGTAGCGTTGCCGTGCGCTGTCTGATCTGCGCGCTGCGTGTATGGAGGAAGCAGCTGCTGATCTGATCTCTGACATTGTGTGAGACAGACATCTGAATAAACTGCGTACAGACGTGTCTTTAAACATACCGCAACGAGGCACGCCGTGCATGATTGTAAGTATTTGCTGCTTTTCTTTTAATTTGTCTGTAGGTATGTTGTGTTTGGGTGGATACGGGTTGTGTTTCGAACAAGCGAAAAAGTAAATGTGGTCAAGTGACTTTGCTTAGAGCAGCCAGCATGGCAGAACAAGCGACAGCATGTGGCCAGCTAGCTAATGTTAACGTTACTTCTCTCTGCTATCCGGGCTCATTTATAGCGATAAAGCATGTGTATCGTTTGGTATATGAAGCTAGAACAATATTCTAGATAGTTAAAATGTTATGCTAACACTAGCCGTAGATTTACCTTCACTCACCCACCGAGCTACTGCTAACGCTACTTTGCCTCACGGACCGGTTGTTCTGGTTGAGCTAACGTTGTTAACAGTTACAGCTAGTATAGTATACCGACTATTTTTAAAGCTGAACAACATGTAACTAACCGGAGATAAGTCACTTTGTAACGAGTCCCGTGTGTTTTGTAGTGTTGTGCAATAGTCCACGTCATTCCCTGTAACTTTGTATTCCTCATTGTGTTACTGGCTGCTGCTTGTTAGTGTAGTCTTGGGTCCGTGGTGAGTAATGCCACAGTCTACCTAGCATTAGCTACAAAGCATATTAGTTTCCTAACAGCACTTCACTTTTCACTCGCTTCGATTCTTTGTCATTTAAAATCTTTGGTTTTCACCTATTTTCTCAAGTTGTGGGTTTGAAAGTTAAAAGCGCTATACCATGTTTGTATTGTTTTTTATCTTAGACTCATATCCTCTCTTAATATATTTTGATAACTGAATATTTCATGGTATATTACGACTGCACCAGAGGTTGCGAAGCTACACTGGCTAGCTAAGCACATGATGTAATGGATTATCACAAGATTGTCCCAGATACAGAGTGCTCTACAAACAATGTCAGAGTGTAGGAAAAATATCTCTGTTTAATCCAGAGGGATATATGTTGTTGTTGAAAAGGTCTTCAAATACTTTATGTTATTCAACGTGTCCTGTGTTGTCTGCCCTTGTGGCCCCTCTTCCTGCTGCCTGTCAGTGTTGTATTTACTGGACCTCATTTAAAATTCATTTTGTGCTCTGAGGTTTCTGTGTGTATTTGGAAAAGGTGTTCGGGAAATATATTTCCCTTTGTTAGGTTGTGACATTAATGTAGACTGACGTAGCTTTCTTCGTACTTGACAGTTGTTAAAGCCCTAGTGATAAATAGAAGACAAAGGCAACAGGAGCTTAAGGGACAAACGTGCAAAAAATAAACAGATGTTGTCAATCTGCCATTATTTTACTGGCAGAATCTCCTCCATGGTCATGTTGTAGGTCAAACCATCTGTTGTCGTCTTTGCTGTTGTTTGTAGTTTCAGCATGTATCAACTCCTGTACACGTTTGTACGTACAGACGCCTCTAGAGGGTCAGGACTGTTGCCTCCCAGAATAGATGAGGGTCTGCTAACTTTACTGACATTCATTTCTATTAATAAGACTCGTCGTAACCCAGGGATGTGGCTATTGCTGAAGTGAAATGGCTTTAATTACTACAGGGATCTAACGTATTGTCAGTAGAGTTGAAATACCTTTAATATTGTACCTTCATAAGGTCATTTAAATTGCTAGAATATTCCTTTAAGACGTTGTAGTTACCAAAGATACTGTAATGTAGTATTACTCCAAAGTTTGAAGTCCCTTTCTTTAAGGTAAAATGGGAGCCAGAATATTTGAATATTCTGTTCATTTGTAGTGGGTCTGCTCACAGTTTTCTATGGCTGAAAGACTTGGAAATCATATGCCACATATGATAACTAAACCTGAATTAGACTTTTCTTTCTTAACGTAATGTACATTTTTTCCAAAAATAACCTTACAATAACATAAGGTACTTCAATGTTACAAATGTTGAATAAACCAATACTATAGAAGACATACTGTAATCAAATTGATCTCAAACCTCTTCATGAATGCCATGCTTTATTTAACAATTTGGTAAACACATTGGTGTCACTTATCTGATAATTCGCTCCATTGTACTGTACAAATGCCAGAACAGGAAGATGTTCCTCTGAGGATGTTTGATAACAATGAACCAGTATGACAAAAGAAACCACCTCGTCATAACATTTATGTGAAGTGAATTGTTAATGTACAGAGTACATTTCAGGTCCAATGGCGCTTTGTTGTCTTGCTTAGCGATGACAACATACTAAATATGATATATAAAACACCTTATACGGAATTTGAATTATATTACATTGTTGCTGGCATCAGTTACACTCATCTAAGCAATAATCTGCACTTCAAAATGGTGGTGTTGCCATGTAATCAGTCTTATCACAGAATTGTGTACTCTGACCCAGGAGTAAATGAAAGGTTGCGTCCTCTAAAATCCACCATGTTCTCTGTAGGTATACCAGTGGTTTTAAATTCATTACCAAAGCGGACCTATGTGGCTGAAACTTAGGGGATTTCTTAACACAGTCTAAAGCAGGTTTCTCATGGATTGGCTCAGCAGAAAAGCTCACCGCTTTATAACCTACTGTTCTGTGAACACCCTGTAATTACAGTCATTTGTGACTTTGATTTTGCCGACTGTTTTAAATCGTTGTAATGGTAGAGGTTGAATAATTTGATGATTGGCAGAAAAAGGATGGTCATTGTTCACTTTAAGTAACTCTATTCCTATAATTATGTTGTTGTGTGAATATTGTGTTTTAACACATTCAAAATGAAAACATGATTTAAAAATGATTAACTGCATATGTTGTGAAGGAATTAAACAAAACAACCTAGCTGTTTTATTGTAAGCATTGTATGTTTTTGTATACATCAGCCACAACAAGTCTGCATAGGCTTTTTATGAAGAATGTGTTGTCCCTCAACCTCCCATTCCTAGGACCAGTGGTTAAATTGAACAGCCATTTACCTTTCTGAGTTCAGTCACAAATCGGAGAGCTCCAGCTCTTGACTGCTGATGTTGGCCCGTCTGGCTTGTGGAGTTTACAGCTTCATGCAGTTTAATGGCGGTTGGCTTGAATAATTAAAGTTCACATGTGTGTTTCATCACCTGCTCACACCCCCTGTGTGTTTTTGAAGGAGGGACAGCCCCAGAAGTGTGTGGTCTCAGGTCTGACATTCTGCTCATCAAACATGGGTGGTAACTCTGAATTTGAAATGCAAATGTAAACACACATCTACAATTAGTTCTGATGTTTCACATCAGTAAGAGATCTGGGCACATCTGAATTACATCTATTTGTATCCCTTATGCTTCCTGTTTAACGGCTTACTATTTCACAAACTAAAGTCAACGTATTGTCGGTAATGTCATGACAGCAACAAAAGCAGTACCAGTTGCAATCTGGTTCTGCAAGTCTAAAATTACAAAGTGTGAGTATTTTGAGTTTCTCCCTCAGTTTTTCCTCCATACGCCTGCCTCTGTGTGTGTGTATTTGCAGAAGTTGCGAATAATTTGATGATTGGCAGAAAAAGGATGGTCATTGTTCACTTTAAGTAACTCTATTCCTATAATTATGTTGTTGTGTGAATATTGTGTTTTAACACATTCAAAATGAAAACATGATTTAAAAAAGATTAACTGCATATGTTGTGAAGGAATTACAACATATGCAGAGTGTGTATTCCTGTTGTGGCGCTCCTCCGTCTACTCCAGTTATTGTTTTACATCTCTTGATTGGTCGCAGTGGTTATGAACAGACTCTATAGTGAACTACACCCCCCTCTAACCCCCCGTCTCATTTGTGACGGGGTGGAATCAAGACACAACCCATTAGGGCCAGAGTCATTGAACGCAACACTAATGTGGACGTTGCCTTGATTGAGAGAAAGGAAGAAGCAAGCAAGGCTGTGTCATGTGTCACAATGGCTCTTTGTCTCATCACCCCTGGCTGAATTAATGGGATTTATTTAATTGATAGGAATATCACAACAACACAGGCCAAACAGCTTGTGTGCTATTTATTAGGACCTTCGAGGATGTAAGGAGCTGAATGAGCAATATATTTCTTACTTTACCAAAATGTTGTAACCAATGCCAACCAAGAGAATACAGTATCATGAAGCCCTGGTAAAAAGCTGGTTAGGTGTTTGGCCAAAGTGACATTTAAAAATAAATGTGAAGCTTCATACCGTTTTCTTTGTTTGAGAGTTTCACACTGGGTTCTCAACTTCAAACAGCTCAATCTATGAAAAGGCGAGCGCTACAGTTTACTAGAGCATGTCTAGAGCTTTGGTTTCTTTAAGTCTTAACATTGTCATCAGATCACCATGGTGAGTTTGTTTAAATAAGTAATTTGAACATTTTACTTTTATACATTTTACATCATTTATGGCAAATACATTTAATAGATGCACACTGTAGTTGTTTCGTATGATGATTTGCTACTAATTTGCTACAGGCTCTGTGTTTTGTGGTGAAGCACTGCATATTGAAACTTTCTCACACTAAGAGTTGTTACAGCTGTAATGTGAGCTGAAGAAACCTTCAGAAAAAATCTTGTTCCTTATCTACATGTTCATCTTTTGCACTTTAGTTGATTCACTCACGCCCAAAGCATCTGTAAATATTGTCTTTCTTTAGGAGCAAGGTACTTCCAGCAATACTAATACTGTCCTATGGGTATTTGTGAGAGCCCCGTGTCCACACTGTATTTGACATTTGAAGGATTCCATTAGTTTGCTATGATTCACAAATATTGTTGTACTTTTGGCCATATAGTGCTTTCTGGGTTTCTTGTACACAAAATTGAATTTGAAACAAATACTGGAAATTACATGGAAAGTAATCTCACACACAGCACATTCCTGGGAGGACTAAACTTCAATAGAGATGTATACAAACTTTACAAAATAAACCCTTAAATTATTTATTTGAAGGATTTAAAGCATGGACTGGCCATTAGTGCTTCTTTAGCTTTCAAAGGTATGAGGTTAGCTCCTGCTAACTGGTGGTGAGTGTTTGTTCACTGAACTTAGAGCCACATGACCCAAGAGATAAGGTTTCAGTGTTGGCTGGGGGCTGGCGTGTACTTTTGAAGGCCTCACCTCTGTTGACAGTCAAAGTGCAGTCCTGTGAGTTTGAGTCTGAAATCACTGTGTGAAGGGATGGTCTCTGATTAACACCACCATAACCATCAATTGTTTTGTTTGCTTGTTTTCCCCCCAACCTTTAAGTGATTGCGTCAGTCAATACATTAAGTTGGACTTGGGTGTTTGTTAGCAGTCTATAAGCAACATGCTGCTGGAGTTCATAGACCGCCAAAGTAAACCCTGCTGTTTCAGCTACCTCTCGCTGCTCGAGTTCACTGTTTTGGTGTAGAGCGGCCCTGACTGTCTCTGTGTGAAGTCTGAATTTGTTTTCTAAAAAATGAACTTCCTCAACAGGCAGGAGGTGTTTCCTTCCCTCCCGGTCCTCTGTTTTGAAACTGTGAGGTGAATACTGAGCACTTCTCAAACATGACTGGAGCAAAAACAACTGCTCCTTTGTATGGGCTGAGTGTAGGGGCCAATTGTAATGCTTTGTGCAAGCTTTTTCATTAGCCTTCACCTTCAGGCACCGAGTAGATCCTTTTTAATCCATTGAGTAGTTTGATTTGGGAATGTATCGTTTAGACGTGCTTTAGCAGTAGCCTGATTAGCCTTCACATTAACGGATGCTTTATTTGTTATTGCATAATTTGACCCTCCCTTTAAAAAAAGACTACCACTCTCCAACAGCTTCTGTGTCTCTCTCTGTAGCTCTACCTCTCTCACTCTCCCTAACTCTCCAGCTCTAACTCACCCCCCCTTTGTCTCATTCACATTTTCAGAGCTCCAGCCAGACTGGGTAGTCACCTAAATATCAGTTTCAAATAACAGCCCTTGCCATGGGGCGTTGCGACACACCTTTGTGTATCTACCACAGAGGTGTAACTGGTTTGTGTCAACTGTTTTTTTTTTTCTTGTTAAGAGGGTGTGGCGTGATTACGTTGGTGCATGAACTCACGACAGTACCCTAGCTGTGTAGTTTTGTTATTTACATTAAAGTAATACGTTGTAAGTAATACAAAAAAAAAAATGGGCTTCTTGATTGATGGAAACGGGGGTAAAGTATGTCCTAATGGCTCATAGTCAGTAGTGCCATGACATCCAGGTTGGCTGTGGCCTTTCCCACTGCTCTTTGTCAGACAGGTTTGTGTTGAGCAGCGGCAGACTGCTGGTCTCAGCATTTTCCGCCTGTATTGATCTCCCCACATTAGCTCTCTCTTCATGCACAGACATGTGCACAATTGCTTCCCTTACAACATTGGCTGCCGTGGCAACTGAGTCCTGATCGTGAGATTCGCTCCCAGAAAACATCTCAAACTAGTACCTCTTCATTTGGACGGCGCTATCATCTCCCTTACATTCCCCGTACATATTTGACACACCAGTGGCTTGATTTGCCACTTACAGCTATCTCCATATGTCTTTGTGTATTTTTGAATAGGCTAAGTGCTTAACAGGATAAAAGAGCAGTTTGAAAGGGGGGGGGAAATGTGCCTTGGCACCTGCTGTTAGAGCCTGGCTGTTTGCACATGAATATGATGAGGCTGGCGGTGCGCGGGGCTATTTTAACTTGCAGATGAGCCACCAGGTCAGCACCGTTGCAGCTTTGGTGTATTTTCAAGGATTCTGCAGTCAACAGGCCAGCCCGGCTTATTAGCTCCCTCTCCCCTCTCCACACTAGTGTCCCATTATTCATCGCATTCCCAGCCGCCTCCCTTTGATGCCTTTTTCATAAGAGCAATGATAACTGCGATCATGGCAACAGCGGTGGTAATTGACCAGCTGCAGTCACACTGGAACACTTCCTGTACGGCTGGATGCAAGGCAGCTTTCTCACTCGCCACCCGGCCTCTGTTGATATTCAAATGATGGTTTTTTTTCTGGAGGAGATACTCAAAAGAAGATGAGCGCTCTCTGGCACCCAAGGGCCCAGCTGAGAGGTCATGGCTGTGAGGATAGACGGAGGTGAAGCTCTCTGGTGCTTTAAGGTGAATCAGCGACCTGACACTCAACCCAGGTGGTGGCTTCTCCGTCATGATGTTCACAGGCTCGTGGCCGTTTGAAGAAGAAAGGCAAAACTGCGTAAAGTGTTTACAGTTGACTCTGGCTCCAGAAAACAATTGAACCACTCCTTAATTTGAATTATGATGCAGTCACAGCTTTTCTTCGCCACACCTGTGTTGGCTTGTTTTTGATGTGACCTTTACTGTTTGTCGTCAGCATGCATTGGGTAACAGTTGCGGATATAGACTTGACTCTAAAAGAACAGTCTAAAGTAGGGCTTGCTAGAACAACCATCCTTGTCAGATGGAATCAGCACTCATCTTTTCTTTCTCTCTGGCATCAAGACAAAACATATAAACAGTTTGTAAGATCTTTCTTACCTTGCCTTAAAAAACAATTTTCAAAAGCACTGGATATTTGGCCTGTGCACACCGATAGCCCAATTATGAAATTATTTTTGGAATGATAAATAATATTTTCCTCCAAAAACTGCCAATGTCTGTCTGCACTGTTCCCTTTTCTATTTGTAAATGTCTTCAGAGTAGCAACTCGTCGTGTCGACATATCTTTCTGTGTTTTGGTCTCTTGAGCAGAGATTGTCTTTTTACACAAATGGGCAGTTCTCTCGCTGCCTGACATATCTGATTGCTCCACTTTGCTGAGAGCTGTGATTCATCCTAGACGGAGGATAACTTACATAGCCTTCCTCATACCACTGAGTGTCAGCTGGCTCACTCCCTCCTCTCAGTCTTTTGGTCTTTATTATACACTTTCTGTCTTGTATAAATGATTTCATTCTTGGATTGTCCCTTCCTATGTTCACTCTGCCTGTCCCTTTGCCCTAGGACTGCAAAGCTCTGTGACTTTCATCCTTTTTGTTAGGGATCAAAATCGCATAAGTACATTTGGCTCACAAGGAAATGTCAATCATGACACATTAAGAGACATACAATAGAGGATTGACAGGAAGAAAAGAGGTCACAATGTGACTTATAGAGCAGACAGGATGTACTATGACAGAAAAGTAAACAAATATACTTTAAAGACTGAATGAATCACAACCCTAGAATTCGAATTCACTCTGAACCAAAATATGATTACTGTGCTATATGTTTACCCCCTCATTGAGTGGTCATTTAGTAAATGCCTCCTCCTTCCCACTCATGTTCTCCTGACCGTGTGTGTGAACACTCCCGCTCCTGTCTCACCCACTGCGCAAACACTCTCGAGTTTGACCTAATTCCTACCTTATCACTGAAATGAAAAGAAATGCCTGTCCACTCCTGCTCTCTGTGCGCCTTTACCTCACCACCGTCCCAGACCCCCCCTCCCAGATCTGGTGTCCATCCACTGGGTGTATCGGTAGTTTTCTGTACAGGGTGGCTGATCATGGGTTGTCTGTGCCAGAGCCAGCCAGCATGGGTTATTATTTCCTTATTGTATCCATATATCTTGTTTGTGGGATGTCTGCTCTTAATTGAAGGGATGGCATGGTTGTCATGGTGACACAAGGACATAAAGCCTGTTGTGAGATGAGCCAAAGAGTGATCTCTTTGTGCTTTTTGGCCTCATGAACCAGCCAAGCTTGAATTTAATGGGTTAACAGGTTTATTGGAAGATAATCTATCTATACTTATTCACTTATTAAAGTGGTCTTAGACTTTGACATATATTTTTTTATTTGCCTGTAATAAAAATCAAAGCTCAATATTGGGTTTAACTGAACACTCCGACAGTGTCATTGCTGAACAATTCCTTCTCTGAGCCCATGTTAAAAAATCATCATTGTCTTATTAATAAGGGTACTTGTGTGGGATTGGTTAATGATACAGGGCTTATGGCAATATTGAATTTCCTTGTGCTGTTAAATGTCCATCAACTCCTGGGCTTGTAGCCTCTTTACACTACTTAATCTGGCATGTGACAAATTGAGGCTTGATCCTGACTGAATGCAGATCAGCCTATAAGAGCAATCCACTCTGTAAGATGGAGGCCTTCCACTCATTCCTGCAGTCGCTGGATGCTCTCATGCTCATTTACACATAACTAGCAGCTGGGTCCTGTCCGCTACGAGGTGGGCGTCGAGTAGTGGAGCCTTAAGTCGCTGGAGTTGCTTGAGAGCACCTCCTCGAAGGTCCTCGGCTGGAGTCAAGAGGAGGGTGTGCTGAGAGCCTCTTGGTCCTCGCCAGGCGTGGAGGAGAGGGACGAGGAGAGGGCCAGGATGTGAAATAGAGGCAGACAGGCGCAGCCACAGGGGGGGGGTGCCCCCAGGGAAGACTTAGGAAAACAAGGTCAACGCTTGGAAGAGTACATCATTCCATGGTGTCGCATCCAGTTATTTCACGCTGCCAACTTTGTTATGAAATCAGTTCACCATGAAAAACTGTGGTTTCTATCTACATTTAACGTTAACAACCTCTTCTCTTCTTTCCTTTCAGACCTCTTTGATTTAATGGGTCCAATCATTGGGATGTCACCAGATAAGAAAACGGAAATTCCGGGTATGCAAGAGGAGCGGACGGGGCTCAGAGGCGTATGTGGTGTGGGAACACTGCCCGAGGCGGAGTGTGCGTCCAGTCCGCTGGCCACCAACGTCGATCGAACTGGGGGTACAGAGGATGAGGAGCTCACCAACCTCAACTGGCTGCACGAGAACCTGCTGCAGAACTTCGCTCTGGGGGGGCCTGAAGCTCAGCCCAGCGGCAGTCCCCTCTTTGACATAGAGGGAGACTACGGGCCCAACCAGGGGCCCTCGTCTTCCTCCTCATCTTCGTCACACGGCAGAGGCAGGGAGCGAGACTCGTTGAAGTCCAAGCCCCCGTTCTCGTTTTCTCTCCTCATCTACATGGCCATCGAGCAGTCTCCCAGCAAATCTTTACCAGTTAAAGAAATCTACGGATGGATTCTCGAGCACTTCCCTTATTTCTCCAACGCTCCCACTGGCTGGAAGAACTCAGTTCGTCACAACTTGTCCCTGAACAAATGCTTCCGCAAGGTCGAGAGGAGTTTGGGAAAGGTAGGTCATTACCCTGTCTGCTAACTTTCATGCACTTCACACAGATTTCCACTTAGAAAACTGATCAAATTAGGCCCCTCCAAAACAGTTTTCAAAGCAGTGTTTGATGATGTAATATTAAAATGTCTGAATGCCAAAATGTGTCCACTTTGCTGAACAAGGTTCTGTGGGTAAACAGTGCATTTCAGTGTGAAGCTGCAGCATGTGAGTGTCCAGGACTGTAACTCAGCCAAAGGGACCTCTGACTCTTCTGCGATAACGCTGGAATATAGTCAAGGTCGTATATACAGTACTCCTCCTGAGGAAATGCAAACACAGCACACCACGATAGGACTTTATCTTCCAAACAGTTTCAACCAGAGAGAGGCTTCCCACAGTAAGAAACCTCAATATCTCTCTGCGACAAGGAAGCAAACGTGACCTGCAGTGAGAGATGAGTTTGTAAGAAGAATCTGTCAGCTTGGTCATGTCACTCGTGCTCATTTGCGTTTGTGTTCCTGTGTAGAAAGAAAAAAAAAAAAGCAGAAAAAGTGAACCTTCTCACATGCACATGTCTGTGACAAAAGGAAAAACACATCCTGCCTATCCTGCACAACATGCCTTGTGAACAGAATGTGAGATGAGTGAAACATTAGCTGTGAAATGTACATTTACTTCCCTCATGGTTGCGATTATCATGTAGGTTAACAAACCTTGAGTTGAAAAATGTGGTGAGGAACAAAAAAGGGACAGAGGTAGCTGCTCTTTGAAAACATTATACACACTTTAAAGTCCCTAATAGTTGCATATCTTATGTACTTCTGAATAATACAAGATAAGTAACACTAAAAATGTAAGCTCGTAAAGTACATTTTGGGTGTTATTTTTATTAGGGGCTAAAAAAAATCACAAGGTCTGTTAATCTCCTTCATCAGTACTGTTGGAGTGTAGTTTGATCAGAATGAATTGAAGTGGCTTGGTAACATAAGCAAACAACACCAAAGCTGTCGTCACATATTCATGCAAATGTTGCTCAAGCTCTTTACTTAACCTTTACTCTAGTTTGCATTTGTTTTCGCGACGGGAAGAATTTCCAAGACCATAGCCAGGCTTTTTTAGACGCAACCTTGTTTGCACGTGACTGTACAGATACAGGGAGCGACACGACAGCGGCCATATTGAGCTCCAGTATGAGTTCAGACTTGTGTCCGGTAGAGCCCGCGGTGCCGAGGCTGTGCCTGGCTAAGACTTCATATTTTCCCACCGCGGGAGGCGATGGTGGTTAGCGCTCAGCGAGCAGCAACATGGTGAGGCGCAGGCGGCTCAGCATGCAGGTGCTCAGCGTGAGCCATTCGTCTGCTGAGAGACCAGTTTCACATGACACTGGCTGGTGGTTTCCGTTGCCATGGAGACATTTCCTTCTTCCTGCATCAGGGCTGGTTGGTAATCTGAGTCAAGGTTATTCTCCTCCCTCCCTCGCTCTATTCTCCTCCCAGACTGGGCCATCAGATAAAGTGACAGTTAACACACTCCCGCACACATCGCTCACATTCATTCCTCACACACAGCGGATATTTCATCCCTTTGTTCAGGCTGTTAAGGAATTTCTAGTTATGCTTTGGCTTTTTCAACTGCTTTGTTTATGATGTAGCGCTCCTATAAGAACCCTTTCAGTAACCTTTTAGCTGTTTATCAGTGCATTTGAAATGAAATCTGACACCTCATTATGCTGCTTTCAATGCTGTCTACAGTAGCACTCTGTATTGCCACCTGAGAATCTTCTGGAATGTTGTGAATGTGAGCATGTAGACAAAACATACTCTACATCTTCTTGATGGATACAAATAGGTTTTCCAGTATCTACATTTGCTCAAATCTAATTTCTACGGATTAACAGTTGATAGTGTGATACGGTGCAAAGTAGTGAGCGTTACTCTCTTAAGGGGAAACGTTATTGTTTTGCAAGTTAAGAATAAGGGGAAGGAAATGCAGTCAACTTGTTTGTTCAAAGATACATTGTTTTGGTGAGAGATACTGTATAAATAAACTTTTGTTTGTTTACAAGAAAACTTTTGTTTAAATATAACCAGAGACGAATCATGAATTCTAGACAAAGCTATGGCTGTTCTGTCACAGAGCTGTGTAATGTTCAGGTATCTGGACTACTCCTTTCCATGAAGGAACATCTAGATTTACAGTAAATACAAATTCTTCTCGCAGTTTTCCGCTACACTTTTCTTACTTTGTAACCTGGGTTAGAAGATTGAATGTCCCTGCTTTGTTTTACAGGCCAATGGGAAAGGTTCTCTCTGGTGTGTTGACCCCGAGTACCGCCCCAACCTGATCCAAGCCCTTAAGAAGCAGCACTTCCCTGCCGCACATGCCTTCTGCACACCACCCGCCTCCCCACCCAGGTAAACTTTCATCACTCTCTGGAATGTGTGGATTATGAGTTTGAATGATACTGCAGCTGTGTCTCAATGAAATCAGTGTTACGGTTTACATTTCTCAACATTTCCTTTGAAATATTTGCAGTGCCTCCTCACCCCCTCGCCATCTCTTTCTACAAGGCTGCTCATTCAAAGGTGAGACGGACGCACACATACCTATTTTTAAGTCTTGATATTTGCATCAAACGCAGATTTGTATAAACCAGTTCAGTTTGTTTTAGCTTGTGTTTGTGCAGTATTTTGATTATGTTGCCTGTTCACATTTCAGCCCCAGAACATTCAGCATCACTGTGCTTGTATCCTCAACTCTTGGTTTGATTTGTTGCTTTCGAGTCATTGATGCCTCATGTAGAGCTTAATGTTGAGAGCTCCCAGTCAGTGTATCAGTCTCCTCTCTCCCCCACCCCTCTGCCTCTTGGATTTGTAACCTTGACGACAGGCAGAGGTTCGGTTGGTGCACTTAGTCTCACTGTAATCATTAATAATTTAGACCCCCAGAAGTGAGCTACGAGGCTTTTAGACGCTTTGTCAGGTCTGAAAAAGATCGGATGCGATATCAGTGGCTTCAATTCATCCTCTGGTTTGTTACTCTGAACCTTCTGCTTATCCAATCCATTCAGTACAGGTTATTGGGTCACTACGACTTTAGACTATGACTATTGAAGGCAGCCAGTCCTAGCAGAGATGCCATGCTTTCACACCTCAGGACTGACCATCATGCATGTTCTCTCCTCTTCCAGAATCTGACATTGATGCTGCCACTGCCATGATGCTCTTAAACTCTGCCCCCGGGCACCACGTTGACCCATGTAAGAGAATCCACAAGCTTCCATACTTTCACCAACTCTTCAAACTCTTTGTCTTCTACCCCCCGACATACCACCCTGTCATTGCTTACGTCTTCTTTTATTTTGTGTGCTTTAACTTGTGATGTGTATATGTTCTTATGACATTTTGTTGACAATGTGCAAGAAATGGTTCAAGGTTAATACTGAAAAACTTCAGCCATCAGCCGGTTAGCTTAGCTTAGCACAAAGTCTGGAATTGGGGGAAATGGTTGACCCGGCTCGTTCCAAAGACGACAAAATCCACCTACCAGAATCTTTAATGCGGGTATGAGGGTATTTCCTAAAATTATGAACTATACCTTTTTTTAATAAATTATTGATTCAAAAGAAGAAGAAATAATGCAAGTATCGCACTGACTTTAGGCAGTATTAGCAGTTTTTAGTTCAGAATATTTATATGGTAAATAGTCAAATGTGTATTGTGTTATAAGTTCTGTTTTTATTTTTTTTATCAAACTTACTTGCTGTTGTCACTCAGATAATACATTGAGGCCTGCGACTAACCATTATTTTCATTGTCAATTTATCTGTTAATTATTTTTGCAATTAACCTAGTGATTTACTGATAAGTAAAGACACCAGAAAACATTATATTTAATAAGCTGATTATTTGATGATCAAATTAGTGGCTGGTTGATTAAAAATGTAACAATTAGTTGGTTATTCAATTAATATTCATCGCAGCTTAATTGTATATTAGATAAGGATCATTTTAGTATAATTGGGTTTAGCTAATATCTGTACTTTCCCCATCAGTGGTCTGATTTAGCATGCGTACAACAAGGTATTTTTAAATCAGACACGTCTCACTTCTGCTTTTCTACTTGTAAACAAGGTGTGCTAAAGTTAAAGTATGTGGTTCACTCTTCTTCTTTAAAAAAACAAACAAAACTGGTTTACTGTAAAGTTACATTAGGATTTACTGATCATCAGTCGCATGCTTTCTAAGCCAACTCAATCGAGACACTTAGCTTAGAGTCTGCACAATTAGTTTTACATGCAATATTTAGAGCGTTTCTCACACCGTAACAAGCCTGTAAAAATATCCCTTCGCATGTGAGTGCATACATAACACTCGATCCATCTCCTGCTCTCCTCAGGCAATTCTGACGGCCCCCTGGACCTGTCCCGGCCCGACTCGGTCCTGGTGAGCAGTGACCCAAAGCAGGACCACAACTACAGCAGCGTGGCCCTGCAGCGCTGCTCCTCCCGCTCCTCCTCCTCGTCTCTCTCCTCCCTGGACGAAGGAGGCTGCGACCGCAGACAGTCGCACCGTGCAGGCAGCGAGGGCTTCCACAGCGACGAGGACTCCGACCTCTGGGATGAGAGGGGCGTCCACCAAACCTCGAGACGTCCGCCGGCCATCAAGTGGCCCGTCGGGAAGAGGGCGCGGCGCGAGGTAAAGCCGGAGCTGGACGAGGAGCTGAAGGAGGCCGCTGGCTCCTTGCTGCACCTCGCCGGTATACGCAGCTGTGCGGAGGGATCCAAACGCACTGTCAAGAGCACAAAACTTAACAGGAAATGAAGATTATTTTTGCCCCCCCACCCCCCCCCCCCCCCCCCATTAGACTCCGGACCCTGTGAACCCTAATCTCTGACCCCTGATCGTGTGTCCCAGTGTGCCTCCTTCTCCTTATCTGATCGTTCATTGGCCATTTTGAGCCTTTCTTTTTGTTCGGGAATATCCCTGTCCAACAAAACAAATGGCAATAGTATCGTTCACACAGGAGAACAAAGCCATATAGAGACTTTTGTAACTCGGGGGGTGACTGCTGGGGTTGGTATTCGGGCTGTGGAGAACCATCAAGAAACCTATCCAAAGTGACCTGCCTGCTTCTGTTGGATTAGAAGATTGTGATTCAAGACTTTTTCTCGGAATGACAAAGCGAGAAAAGCTGAAGGTTTTATAACTCAAGGCGTTTGCATGCTTCCTCCTCAAACCTGTATCCTCTTCCAAGTGAATCTATTTATGAAGCGAATGAGTGCATGTTTGTAACAGACAAAACCTAACCTCCTGGTGTTATCAGCTTCTCCTTTTTGTGCTAAAGAAAAAAAAAAATGCCACTGTTTTTTGAAAGGAATCCTCTTGTAAGAGAGATGCAATAATTAATCCACAACCTTAACTTTAATGACTTAATTTCATGGTGGCATTTTTTCCGAGTTGAGTATGCTAGTTAAACTTTACAATTTAAGCGAATGAATGGAGTAGTACTATAATCTTGTTATGCGATAAACTTATTACACACGAGCTCTAGCTCTATTTCAGGATAAGCAAGATGTGGAAATAGTATTACTCTGCCACTGCCAAATTTTGTTGCAAAGTTAGCTATACTACTTCGCTCAGTTTTGTGCGGCCATTACAGTGCTATACAAATGTTTTTTTTTCTCACAAATCCGCTGCTCATCCTGTCAATCTACTTTCATTCATCAGTGTGTTTTTGACATTTTGTGCAGACATATATTCACATGTTTAGTGACGGCCTATGCAAAGTGAACACCTGCCACATGTTGCCAGATGTTCACTGTGTGTTCATAGGTTATCCTCCATAGATTCATTTTTTTGTGTTTGTTTATCATAGTGCATGTCGACTTCAGCCTAATTCTGAGATGATGATCACGACAGAAATCTCTGTAAAGACAGATCTCCTTGCTACTGCTGTATTGTAGGGCTGCTTGGCACTCTGCTTGCTTCTGGTCCGTTTTGAATGCAGAGCTGGTTAACAGGCTGTGACTGGAGCAGACAGTAAATTAATACAGCTCTATTTGGGTTTGCCTTTTCCTTACTTTTTTGAACCATGTACTTTTGAAAATAACAATTATACAGCTAATCTGTTGGCTGGTCTTGATGCCAAGTTAATTCACAACTTGAGGGGGGGTGTTTTGTGGAGAAGGGGACAGTTGCAGCCACAGAGAACTGGACGTTGTGTGTGCAGTCACTCGCAGGCGAGATGTTGAAGACCTGTGCTGCTCTCAAGTTGTGCCCTCAGTTCTGTCTGGCCACTGGTATTTGGCCCTGGCTCTTCCTCCTAGAACAAAATAAGGAAGTGCACGCTCTCTTCTCTAGCTGTGAAATGGAGTGTTTATTGTCAGTTGATTGCATGCAGTTCACTGAGGGGAAGTTGCTTGTGTAAAGGCCAACATTCTCATTAGAGCTTTTAAAAAAGGCTGCGTACAATACAAGGTAGCATGGAAGCTCACAAGGGCAACTAAACTAACATTTTATTATTTCCTCACACAGTCCTAGATCTCATCGTCACAGGAACTCTTGATATAGTATGCATGGTCGGTGCCAAACATTTTCTTGTGCCACTAATGTAAAATTGCAGAGGGCCATGGTCACTATGTTCCACTGCTGCCACGCTGTAGTTATGATTAGGAGTAACACAATGCCCTAGTTTTGTGAATCATCCGAACAGGAAGTGGGAGAGGACTCTGGTCAGTACAGGGACTTAACCAATCTTTTGGTTTATTTTTGTCGCTTTAGAGTGGGAACTGTTCTTTGCAGAGTAAGCAACGGTTCTCAGAAGTAAAACTTGCATACACTGGTCTTGTTAGCTGTGAAAAAAGAACAAATGATTGTTCATTAATCATAACCTTATTTATGACATTAATTTATGGGATTATTGAATGCATACTCTATCAAACACTGGTCATTTGAAACAAGTGACTAGGCACATTTATTTTTCCTCCTGTGAACTCCTTAATAAGTATTTTATTTCTCCTTGTTTTATTTTACAGCAATACACTTTTTTTCTATCACTATGTTATAGTGATTAAGTATTTTGCCGATGTCTATTGTCTTTAGAGCGGGTGTTCTTTTTCTTTTCTTCGATTTAACCATGACTGCCAGGTTTTCTTGATGTTTTGTTTTGCTTTTTGTTAGGCTGGATAGTTTATTAACATTGATCCTGAAACCTTTTGTTGCCAAAATGGATGTACAGCCGGGGTATAAAATTCAAAATGGACACATTCCCCCATGTACTGTAGAAGTTCTTTGAAGATGATTGAATCCTTTTCACATTTGTCTCATGTTTATATATTGATATTATGACTAAGTAGTCACAAATTGAAGATACATTAGCTCTCGTTTTCATCTCGGATTAGAATCTGACTGCCACTCATAACTCATGCTTCCAGGTATTGTTATGGGATGTTGAAATGTTTAGAATATCATTGGATCAGACTCACTCAGTCCCCAGGCTGCTGCTGTGCAGTTTCAGACTTACGTTTAAGTATAGTGACAACTGCAGAGAAATTATGGAGCGACTTGTAGAGGAAAAGTTCACTCATTCTTTCTGTAGCACTTGCAAAAGAAACGTTATGTTGGTCTTAATTTGACATATGGAAACATTTTGGGCTTTAAATCCCCCAACTAAAAATCCAATTGCTTCATTGCTTGAGAGCTGTTAATTAAATTAAATATTGATTATGTGAATCTAAAAAATTCTGTTGCAGTTCCCGAGGGTATGATGAACATTTTGTTAACAAAGCTGCCAACCCAGTATCAGTTTGTGTCAGTTGTCTGCCATGTCTATTGGACTGACACACATTTTGGTTTTTGTATGCTAACCTCTGTTGATAAAATGTTTATAAGATTTATTTTCGCCAAAGATATGCAATTGCATTATATATGGTATTACAAAAATATTAATAAAAACCTGTTCTTGTTACCACTGTGAGCATTGTTTTATTGAGCAGCATTTTATCACCTCAAATAAGACTTGACACATTTCTTTTACCCTCCAAACTCCTCCACAACACAAGAATGCCATCACTTTACATTAGCAGCCTACAGTTTTAAACGTTTGATCAACATTGCCACCTGCTGTGAAGGCCACAAGATCAAAATTCTTGCTAATAATAGTCTATTCTTTAGAATAGCTACCTCTCAGTGTGGCTGGTTTCTCAGTTTTCACATAACCATGTTACAGCCGGCAAATATTTCCCACCAAGAGCAGCCGTTCAGAGCTGTTTTGACTTCAGAAGCTGTGCTCAGCACTACGTGTGGCGGCTCCACACTTTTCCTCTTTTTGTTTTGAAATGCTCAATCGTGGCAGACCGCCAGAAATGCATCTCACATTAATGTGAATTCCAGGGCTGTGCCAGTGATGGATGCTTGATCAGATGTCCTAACGACACTCTGCGCTGTAAGTTAATTAGTCATGGAGGACTGTGGGATGAACACAGTGTGACCCTGAACAGGGGCTTGTCTGACTAGCCTCAGGCCCATTGGCACACTCTATTGTTCAATAGAGTCCTGTGTGTCGACTGGAAGAGGGGGGCTTCTCCCTACTGACTGCCTCAATTCAGCTGGAAATCAGAGCAGCATCACCTCCCCCCCTCCCACACGGCCCTAGCAACCACGCCACGCCGACAGTTGCCAGGCAACCAGACAATGCTGGAGCCACTGGCTGTGGTGTGCGTGTCAGTGAGTTTGTGTTTAGCCTGCATTTAAGATCAGCAATCGTGAAACAGCGCAAATGTCTTTCTTCAAAACATTTAAGTAATTCCTTCTTGTAATTTTTTGCATTTTACTAATTTAACAGCTGATAAAAATAAGTTAGTATTTATTTGTATATAGCCTATAGCAGTAGGCTACTGTGTGGTGAATATATAAAGAGATTATTATGGATTAGGTGAAATTAATCTTGTAGGATTTGAGCGGTGATGGCTGCATTAGCAACATGTCATTTCACTTTGAGTCCAAACGAGGTCATGTGCGTTTTAAAGGAAAATCACAGCGGCTATCTTTCAACGTGCTACAACCTATTTGTGATTTCTGACCTTGTTCCTGGTAATGCCACACTCAAATCAGCAGTAAATTATTTATCAGTGACATCACAGCACTTAACGCAAATGGCATAATATCTAATGTAAGAAGAGGGGAAAATATGTTATACAAATATAACATTCAGAGCCTTCCTATAATCACCTGTAAAAACACATGTAAAAAAGAATACGCTATATTACAGACTAGAGTATTTTAATGTGCTGTAGGCCTATATCGCTGGTGTAATTACAGGAAGTGTGTCTTTTTTATTTTAATTCCCAAGTATCATAATATAATATAATTTAGTATAATACAATATGATATAAAGTTATCAAGTATACAAATATATTAATCATACATAATTGGAATATATTATTTAAATTCTGTTTTGGCAATATTTATATTCAACTTTATTTATTTGTTTATTACTTTTTGGGCAGTACAATGCATTTATTTATTTATATATCTTTAATTATTTAATTCAACATTGTGTATGTATGTCGTCTTTTTTCGAGCCCTTCCAACGCTAGACGGCGCCCTGCTCACTCTCCACTTTCCTGTTTTCTCAACTCTGACCCCGGCGCTTGTGTCCGTGATCGGATCTCATTCGAGGAAGATTTTCTGCTGGGTAAAAAAAATGAAAGTATTCCTTCAGATGAATGGACTGTCAGTGCTGCTCGGCTAGTTTAGCAGCAGCTACTCTCAATCCGTAATAGGATTTGCGGACGCAGCGGTTTCTCACGGCTGCTGTCACATAATATGACCTGCATGTGTTTCTCTGCATTTGTTTTGCTACATAGCTAGTTAGCTGGTGGCTAGTCGGCTAGCTAGCAAGCCCTGTCACCGCTAAAAGTGCTAAAAGCGCTGCTGTCAAGTCAGAAAAATATCCGGCTTTAGATATTATGGTAGCGTCTAATATCCGGGACTCATGACAGCTTTATGTGACAATGTTCTCCAGGTTAGTTTTACCAAGGTATAGAACAAGCCGCCTGTGAACTAGCTAACTTGAGCTAGCCGGCTCACAGCTCACCGTGTCCGGCTTTATAATCCCAAGCCCCCGGCACATTGGAGAGAAGAAGCTAACTACACCCATCAGCTCACCGGGCTAAAGTGGATACCGTTTAGTAGCATTAACGATTTGGCGACGGGATAACCGACTTCCAGCGACAATGGCTAACGTTACAGACCTGCAGACAAAATACAGCAAGCTGGCACAGGAGTACTCCAAGGTAAAACACTGTTCTACCGTGTAATGTTAGTAAGGTAACGTTATTAAAACATTAATGACAAGGCTGGTAGCCTGCTCAGAAGTATCCAATGAGTTATAAACCACTATAACCGTATCATCTATAATCAATGACACATGCTAATTTAACATGATTTTACAGTATTGGACTTACAGAGTGGATTCCATGGTTGGAGCTGACCATGCAGACTTGTTGTCACTGCAAAGAAATGAACTTAACTAAGAATTATTACTGTAAACTGAATGAAAGCCATTGATTCTACACCAACTTAATGTCATTTTGGAAGATGTAGTTTGTAGTGCAGTTGAATGATTATTAGAAGCACCTCTAATTATAATGCAAAATCATTCAAAAAACAGAATACAGGCTCGAAAATAACCTTACAAATGAATCAACTCAAAAACTGAACATTAAATCTGTCATGAAACTAGTTTTTTAATTTGATGCAGAAGGTGGAATAAGCCTGGTATACCTAATAAAGATACTTTATTGGCAACAGATGTTGTCAACACAAGACCAGTTATTTCATAGGTTTGTGGTTTGTTATTGTGGTGTGTTTTAGTTTTAATGTTGTAATTTAAGTACAACATGTGCATCATTTTCACATGTTAAGTAGCTTAAAATCATGCTGTGTAAAGGTTAATATGTTGACAGTAAAGCCTGTGAGTCTGCGTTTTCTGTGAGCTGTTTGCGCCCTTTGTGTCGGTGTCAGCTGACAGCAAGTGTGCTGTTTCCTGTTGAAACAATGATCTCCCCGTTAGCCAAGCACCATATCCTGCTCAGGAAGTGCTGACTGTGTAACTGTCACATGTGCTGCCGTTATGCTGAGTTAAGGAGGCGTCTAGGAAAAAAGAGGACCTAAGTGGTGAATCTTCACGTTATGCAGAATTGGAGAAAAAAAACAAAGCAACCACAGACAAATATATGATATTGTTGATGAAAATAGACATGTTTGATACCTCATACATACATTAGCATTGATAATACAATCGTCGCATCTTAATCCTGACCATAGATAACATTCATGTGTCATCCTGTACATGTCTCCACAGCTCCGTGCCCAGAACCAGGTGCTGAAGAAGGGAGTTGTGGATGAACAGGCCAACTCTGCCTCATTTAAGGTAAAGTGACATATAAAACCAAAGAAATAATTTTCCTCCACAGCTGTAATACACGATGTCCCTGTTACAGGTGATAAGAATAAACCACAGCCAAAATGTTTTAGAGATTCTAGATTATCTCATAAATTGTAATCTTCTTTTTCTATGAATATTCATCAGGTTGACACAGGTAATCATAAGGCTTAAGGGGAAAGATATGTAAACAACTATTTGTTCATGTTTACTAAGCAACAGAAAAACATCAGGTCAACTAAATGTATTACTTCTTCTTGCAGTGTTGTTACTAATTATGCTGGATGTGCGCAATGACAGGTCTGCCATATTTGCCAGGGAGCTTAATTATAAAATCACAGCAAGGTCTGCTACAGTCATGGAGTGTTGTCTTGTTGATGTAAAATAAGTTAATTTCCTAAAGTGCTGGTTGTAGACAACACAACTACAGTTCTTTGCTTGACATGTGTTTGTCATTGTGGTCATCAGGAGCAGCTGAAGCAGAGGGACCAGAGCCTGAGGAAGCAGGAGCAGGAGATGGACAGTCTCAGCTTCAGGAACCAACAGTTGGCCAAACGGGTGGAGCTGCTGCAGGAGGAGCTCGCTGTCAGTGAAGCCAAGGGCAAAAAGGGGAAGGTGATCATGAGGGGAAATCAGGGAGAGGCACAGTATGTCAGAGGGACCGGATGTATATAGCCATTAGATATTAGTTTAAAGAGTGATCTGCAATTTGCAACACTGATTCTGATTAAATGCTTATGTTTGTAGAGCCAAAACATCCTCACTAACATTTGATCTTTACCTCCTGCAGAGTAAAGTAGACTCTCCCTCCCAGCACGGTCTGGAGACCCAATGTGTATTTGATGAAGACCTGCAGAAAAAGATAGAAGAAAATGAGCGACTTCATATCCAAGTAAGCAGTCATTGTCCGGTATATAAACAGTTAATGAAGTGGTGAGGCCATGCATGTAATGGCTCGGTTTCCTGCTGTATACGTGTTAGTTCTATGAAGCAGGTGAGCAGCACAGCCGGCAGGAGTCCGAGCTGAAGACACGACTGCAGGAGCTGGAAAAAGACTCGGAGCAGCACCAGGCTGTAGTGGGCGGACTCACCACCAAGTACATGGAAACAATCGAGCGGCTGCAGAGTGACAAGGCGCGTTTGGAGGTGAGGATGAAGAGGAGGAGGTGAAGAACATATTTTTACTATACGTTTTTTATACAGTTTATTCAAATGTGTCTCTTTTTCCTTTATTCTCATAGATAAAATCACAGACTCTGGAGAGGGAAGCAAAAGAGTGCAGAATGCGAACAGAAGAGTGGTACATCATTTTTATTATTTGACGGTTTGAGAATAATTGTATCCACCGCTGCGGTGTGAGAAAACCAAAAGGGTGATTTGCATATATAAAGTATTTATACATACTTAATGAAGTTACAGTATACTTCGGATAAACTCCAGTAGTGGAACTAGACCCACAAAAATACCATATCCGTATTTAAAAGATCTGGGAAACCACCCCATTTTAACATAAACCTTGG